TTTCTTGTACAAAATATATATTTTCAACAAAATATCGGTAGGAAACTTACCTTTTTAAAATTAGACGGTCATTAAAAATATTAAAGACAATTAGTACATCGGATGTCCTCTTTAAAAGATAATTAAAATTCAATAAATCAACTTGCTCGATGACAGATATAGATCGAAATGAATTACCCTTTTGACATAAGGCATAAACGACAAATGACATTTGTGTAGAGATGTTGGTGTCAAAATAACGAAAACGGTTACAACCGTTACAACACCAGCGATATCTCTCAATAACAATCTGTTAAAATAGAAACATTTGCGGATGACACTGCAATATCTATACCTACTGTATAAAATTGTATTCTCTTTTGGATTGTTCTAGTTTCAATTTTTTATCTATATACAGGGTGGCTCACGCTCAACGGGACGGAGCTTTATGGGAAAACGACCAAAGATATAAAAAATTCGTTTAGGAGGTTACAGACGGCTACAATTTAAAATTTGTTAGATGTATACAGGATGTCCCACATAAGAGAAAATATACAAAGTTATATTATTTTTAATGGAACACCCTGTTTTTTATTTTAGAATTAAAAACTACATCAAAAATAATGTCAGTTAACTAAAGGTTCCCTATTACTATTATTAATAGTTTTCGATTTATTTGAATTTATAAGGAAAAAAGTCTCCCAGAAATTAATTGTTTACTCTTGTTTGAATAATTTTTAATGAACTAATTTTTTTTTTCTTATGTGGGACATCCTGTATACATCTAACAAATTTTAAATTGTAGCCGTCTGTAACCTACGTATTCCTCCCAAACGAATTTTTTATATCTTTGGTCGTTTTCCCATAAAGCTCCGTCCCGTTGAGCGTGAGCCACCCTGTATATTGGGCATTTTTTCAAATTTTTTACTTCGGCCTTAAGTACTTTATAAGTAGTAAAGTTTAATATGAACTAATAAAAAAATTTGACTGGGTCAAAAAAAAATAAAGATGAATATAGAGTTTGAAATACTTTTTTTTTAAATTTAAAATTTCTCAAATACCAAATGTCAGTTGTTCTTAAGAAATTCCACTAATGGAAAAATCAGGATTAAATTATCAGTCATGTGATTTATTTTAATAAATATAAAAATCTGATGTGTCCAACACATGACTTTCCTATCTAGTTATTATAGGCATTTTCCGGTTATTTTGTACAACCTATTGCAGCATCTCTATAAATGTTTAGAGGATAAACTAAATATATACATTTTCCACATACATCTACCTCGAAACATTTTTCTATAGATATCCATTGAAAACGAAAATACAGAAAAATTTAAATTTAGCACTTTTCCATTACGGTCCATTTTAGAAAAATCATATATAAACAAAAATTATAGAAATCGATATCGCAAACAACTTTTAGTTCAACAATTTTCATAAAAATCAGAATTTTGCACATTTTGTCAAATTTCTCGAATACGGACCATTTCAGGAAATTTTGACATAGAACAAAAATTATAGATAATAATATTAGAAGTAACTTTTATTTGAACAATTTTCTTCTCCAAACATAAATAACAGATATATTCCATAAAATATAAAAACGGCCTCCCATAAAGTACCCCCCCAGATGTTCCGACTTTGTCCAAAATCTAATCATTTCACGTCAGGTTGAAATAAACCTTAAGTTTAAAATTTAATGTTTTTTCCTTTATCCGTTTTTGAGTTTTCTTCAAATTTCGAAATTTACACATTTTCTCAAATATCTCGAATACGGTCCATTTTAGAGAAATTATGTATAGGACAAAAATTATAGAAAATTATATTACAAACAACTTTTATTTGAACAATTTTTATAAAAAATTATTTTTTTTTACATTTTCTCAAATTTCTCGAATACGGACCATTTTAGGAAAATTTTGCATAAAACAAAAATTATAGATAATTATATTAGAAGTAACTTTTATTTGAAGAATTTTCTTCTCCAAACGTAAATAACAGATATATTCCATAAAATATAAAAATGACCACCTATAAAGTACCCCCCCAGATGTTCCGACTCTGCCCAAAATCTAATCAGCTCATTGGACGCTGAAACAAAGCCTAAGTTTAAAATTTGGTGTTTTTTTGTGTATCGGTTCATGAGTTATGCGTTATACAGACACACACACACACACACACACACACACACACACACACACACACACACACACACACACACACACACACACACACACACACACACACACACACACACACACACACACACACACACAGACACACACACACACACACACACACACACACACACACACACACACACACACAGACATCATCGCGAAAATAGTCAAAACGGATTCAGGGGACCTCAAAACGTAAAAATCCGTCAAAAACTCGAGGTCGAAAAAAATCATGATTCCTATACTTTCCTTATATCTGTATACAGATAGGAAAGTAAAAATTAAAAAAAAAATCTGATGTGTCCAACACATGACTTTCCTATCTAGGTATTACAGGCTTTTTCCGGTTATTTTGTACAATCTATTGCAGCATCTCTATAAATGTTTAGAGGATAAACTAAATATATACATTGTCCACATACATCTACCGCGAAACATTTTTCTATAGATATTCATTGAAAATGAAAATACTGAAAAATTTAAATTTAGCACTTTTCCTACAATTTTTCCATTACGATCCATTTTAAAAAAATCATGTATAAACAAATATTATAGAGATCGATATCGCAAACAACTTTTATTTCAACAATTTTCATAAAAATCAGAATTTTGCACATTTTGTCAAATTTTTCGAATACGGACCATTTCAGGAAATTTTTACATAAAGCAAAAATTATAGATAATAATATTAGAAGTAACTTTTATTTGAACAATTTTTTTCTTCAAACATAAATAACAGATATATTCCATAAAATATAAAAACGGCCTCCCATAAAGTACCCCCCCAGATGTTCCGACTTTGTCCAAAATCTAATCATTTCACGTCAGGCCGAAATAAACCTTAAGTTTAAAATTTAATGTTTTTTTCTTCATCCGTTTTTGAGTTTTCTTCAAAATTCGAAATTTACACATTTTCTCAAATATCTCGAATACGGTCCATTTTAGAGAAATTATGTAGAGAATAAAAATTATAGAGAATGATATTACAAACAACTTTTATTTGAACAATTTTTATAAAAAAATATTTTTTTTACATTTTGTCAAATTTCTCGAATACGGACCATTTTAGGAAAATTTTGTATAGAACAAAAATTATAGATAATAATATTAGAAGTAACTTTTATTTAAAGAATTTTCTTCTCCAAACGTAAATAACAGATATATTCCATAAAATATAAAAATGACCACCTATAAAGTACCCCCCCAAATGTTCCGCCTCTGCCCAAAATCTAATCAGCTCATTAGACGCTGAAACAAAGCTTAAGTTTAAAATTTGGTGTTTTTCTGTGTATCGGTTCATGAGTTATGCGTTATACAGACACACACACAGACACACACACACACACACACACACACAGAGACACACACACACACACACACACACACACACACACACACACACACACACACACACACACACACACACACACACACACACACACACACACACACACACACAGACATCATCGCGAAAATAGTCAAAACGGATTCAGGGGACCTCAAAACGTAAAAATCCGTCGAAAACTCGAGGTCGAAAAAAATCATGATTCCTATACTTTCCTTATATCTGTATACAGATAGGAAAGTAAAAATCTGATGTGTCCAACACATGACTTTCCTATCTAGTTATTATAGGCATTTTCCGGTTATTTTGTACAACCTATTGCAGCATCTCTATAAATGTTTAGAGGATAAACTAAATATATACATTTTCCACATACATCTACCTCGAAACATTTTTCTATAGATATTCATTGAAAACGAAAATACAGAAAAATTTAAATTTAGCACTTTTTCATTACGGTCCATTTTAGAAAAATCATATATAAACAAAAATTATAGAAATCGATATCGCAAACAACTTTTAGTTCAACAATTTTCATAAAAATCAGAATTTTGCACATTTTGTCAAATTTCTCGAATACGGACCATTTCAGGAAATTTTGACATAAAACAAAAATTATAGATAATAATATTAGAAGTAACTTTTATTTGAACAATTTTCTTCTTCAAACATAAATAACAGATATATTCCATAAAATATAAAAACGGCCTCCCATAAAGTACCCCCCCAGATGTTCCGACTTTGTCCAAAATCTAATCATTACACGTCAGGCCGAAATAAACCTTAAGTTTAAAATTTAATGTTTTTTCCTTTATCCGTTTTTGAGTTTTCTTCAAATTTCGAAATTTACACATTTTCTCAAATATCTCGAATACGGTCCATTTTAGAGAAATTATGTATAGGAAAAAAATTATAGAAAATTATATTACAAACAACTTTTATTTGAACAATTTTTATAAAAAATTATTTTTTTTACATTTTGTCAAATTTCTCGAATACGGACCATTTTAGGAAAATTTTGCATAAAACAAAAATTATAGATAATTATATTAGAAGTAACTTTTATTTGAAGAATTTTCTTCTCCAGACGTAAATAACAGGTATATTCCATAAAACATAAAAATGACCACCTATAAAGTACCCCCCCAGATGTTCCGACTCTGCCCAAAATCTAATCAGCTCATTGGACGCTGAAACAAAGCTTAAGTTTAAAATTTGGTGTTTTTCTGTGTATCGGTTCATGAGTTATGCGTTATACAGACACACACACAGACACACACACACACACACACACAGACACACACACACACAGACATCATCGCGAAAATAGTCAAAACGGATTCAGGGGACCTCAAAACGTAAAAATCCGTCGAAAACTCGAGGTCGAAAAAAATCATGATTCCTATACTTTCCTTATATCTGTATCAGATAGGAAAGTAAAAATGGAAATTGGTTAATAAAAAATATATTTCTACGAATTGATAACCTCCTTCCTTTTTTCCTTTTTTTGGATTCAAAATGCCTCAGATATAGTTGTTGATGTCAGAGTTTGGCAAAGAGCGCTGTAGATTTTGTTATTTATTTTTCTGTTTAAAAATACTTTGTATTTTTAACAGATATTAAGCTTGTTTCTTTTAAATAATTTATTTTTAATTTTTATAATATTTATTCTATAACTTATACAATAAAGTTACATATTTTTAGAAAAATTAAATTCCAAGCATTTTTTTTGCGAAAAAGATACCACCATCTAAGATACCACCCAGACTCTCCTTCCAGTTTTCCTGAAATGTTAACAAGAATATTGTTAAACTTTATGTAATAGTTACAATGATATAATATACTAGTTAAATAATTAATTTTAGAGTTTCTGAAGAAGCTGCTTTAAACTGAAGAAAAAAAATCGAAGAAAAGAAGTACATAGTGCCCGTAGGCACACAAAGTTTAGTTTACATATTAGTCAAAGTAGTTTTTGTACATTATTAGCTGAAATAATGACAACTTTGTACTATTAAGGGTAAATTTAGAATACAAAGGGGTCTATTCTGTAACAATTCCTTTATATTTAACGGCCTTTAAAAATATTTTATTCTTTACTTCTGTCATTATTTAAACGAATCTTTAAAATACATTAAAGGACTATCTTAAAGAAATCTGTTTAAATAATGACAGAAGTAAATTAACGAATACGAACATATGTTTAAAGGCCGACAATATTTTTAAAGGCCGTTAAATATAAAGGAATTTTTACAGAATAGACCCCAAACACTGTTTAGTATGTGTGATTTCATTATTAGTTTTATCCTTAGTGGGTTTTAACTAAAGTTGCTTGTTTTATTAAAATATATTGGAATTAGAGTACTAGAATTATTAATAAGACTCAAAAGATGTGTAATAAATAGAAAATACATTGCATTTAACTATTTTGTATTTAAAATGCTTTAGTAAAGTATTAACCTGTTATACAAAGTGTGACACCTTACATATAATTTTATTGGAATTCAATGCACCATCTAACATTGACTACAAATTGATTGTTTCATATACTAACTGATTTTTTAATAATAGGGTGTCACCCTTTTGATTCCCTAACAATTTTTTTTCCTCAAGATTTTTTCATAATTTTCAATTTTAAAACGGTAAAATTTATTTTCTTACCTTTATACATGAACAATAAACTGGATATATTTTTTTGGCATCAATCACTGAGTTTATTATGTATTCCATAGAGTTACTTAAAACGCAATCAATACAAGGTTCTCCCAATAGGTTCAAAATCCATATTATAAATTGTGACACTAAATTTATCTCTGTTGTTATATAATTACTCACTTCATCATTATTCCAAAATCCAGTAATATATGACTAAAATCAAAAGAGTCATTATATATATGGAGATCTAGTAACTCCGTTTACAGTTAAAAATCAGTAATTACGAAAAGTAGCCCCAATTGTAGTAGCCACCGTTACTACAAATAAATAAAAACTCTTCGCCTATTGTATAGCAAAACTCGGAGATAACTGAGTCCACATTTGAATCAGAGAAAACGAAGAATACTAGAACCAAAAAATGTTCAAAAAGTTCAAAACGAACTTTGTAAAACTGCTAAAACAAAAAGCAGTGGTAAAAATTACCTCTTAAAAATAAATATGATGCAGTCTAACAGATAAGAATTGGATAGACATAAAAAAGGGGAAACCCACTGCCAAAATCCCCAAATAAACCCAATAATTAAAGGCAAGTACTCCATAAGATAAACAAATACCACCACGGTTATTTTCATTACTAGGAAGTATTCTAGAAATCCATTTATACTAATAGAATTTAAAAAACCTAAGCCTTTTGAGAGGAATGGCCAATGGTTCGAATACAAATTTGATAGATGAAGACCAAAAGAACTTATACGAAATTAGAGTGAAGGACATTTACCAGACGGTATCTAAACAACCACCCCTTTCTCATAGTCACCGACCAAGCTAGAACTCTGGACTATATTATTAAAAATATGAGAGTAATAGAAAATGAGAGTATCATCGGAACTAAAAAGGTCAACAGAGAGCATTATATAGTGTTACAGATGCAAAACGTGGGGTCATATAACTTATAATTGCAAAAGGCCTTCGAAATGCCTGAAATGCGATGGAAACCACTTTACAAGAAAATGTATTAAAAAAAGGGATACACCAGCAACATGCTAGAAAAACGTAAAGCTGTCAAAATGCCACTGAAGAAGTTTATTCAGGCACCACCGCTGAACATGGGACAAAAACATAGAAGCAAGAAACCCTAAAGTACACGAATTCCCTTCCCTACCAGCTACGAGACAGCCCACAAGACAGCCATCGGTACAGAATCAAATGCAATACGAAATAACTAGAGTCCAGTGGGAATGAACGCCATAAATCAGAAATTTATAGAACTAAATGCAATGGTAAATTTAGCAGAATTCATTTGATCTTTCAGAAAGATAACAATTGTATGACTAACATAAGAAATTAAATTCAACGATACACACAAAATCAAACTGAGAATTTGTTTTGCCAATTTGCGCGGGCTGCTGAAGAAGATGGTACAGGTATAAATACGACATCACAATTTTGACAGAAACCATTTTAACAGATTGACAAAGTATAAATCTTTCATACAAGGTATTCCTCCTAACATTGCTCGGAGAGGCATTCCAAACAAAATAGCTACCCATTTGAAATGACAGGCCACTGACAGGTTATAATATGGCAACACTGTGATAGGGGTAATAATATAGATAGTTATGGGGATTGAACATCAATGTTTTTAAAAATAAACATAAACTTATGCCTTGAAATAAAAATGGTTACCAAATAACACAATAAACGATAATTTGATCATGCAGTACATCAGTAATTCACTATATGGAGGCTTATGTGTAGACTGATGGCACACAGTTTGAACATTTGTTAAATTAATAATTTGTATTTCACGTATTACATAGTAGTATTTGTCTTTTCCCTATCTTTTTTCAATAAGTTTTTCCTTTAAACTGTTCAATGTTGTTCATTGGTACAAAACAGTACAATTAGTGTACAACTCACCTCATTATACTCTTTGATTCGAATTTTCAAAATTAAATCATCTAATCTCATATTCCGGAAATGTTTGTCGGTAAATTTTACATTAGAGAATATATGCACTTCTGCAATTCCAAAACTAAAAATTAAAAAATTGAAAATACCTTGGGAAATACCGTCACCTTAATAATTCGAGCTTCATATCAGATTTATCAAGAATACCATTGTTAACCCTAGTAGTCAAAATAAACAATGGATACATATAGTCTAAGAACTAGAGGTCGCAAGGTGGTTGGCAGGATCATCAGGAAGTATCATTTGTAAGGATTTAGTTTAGAACCCCTGAAAAGGCGATGTAACAATCGTACCTAGCTAAGCGACTGCTAAAGAATTGTCAGACGCCATCAAATAACATTGATGGTTTGATGATTTAAAAAGCAAAAATGTTGTTCATAAGAAGAGTAATTTAAAGAAGACATGTTTGTAGAAAAGTATAAAGAAGATGAATAGTTAATGGATTAAATTGAAGGAGATATGTGTAAATATAAATTCGATATAAAGTGAATTAATGCTGTAAGAAGTGAATAATTAATGTATAATAATTAAGGCGATAATTAAAAATGATCAGAGCTGAGAACCGTTACATATTTTACTCAAAACTACTCTAAATGCTACCTGTTTACGCTAGCGCAGGTCAGGTCAAAGCGATAAGTGGATATAAACCATTGATGTCAGTTTTTGTTGACATTCGTTAGCGCAATCTTGACCACCATATATAGCAGTGGTCACCAACCTGTCGATCGCGAGCTACCGGTAGCTCGCGGAGGCAATTCTGGTAGCTCTCACAACGATTTTAATTTAAAAAATACAAACTGCAAAAATCAGAGAAGCTTCCGGAAATTCCACAAAAAAATCTAATTGTCATAATATTAAACATAAACAGCGGCAACATTGCGGTGAGCGATCTGCCGCTGACGCCATCAAGCTAAAATCGGCTAGAACCGACCAGCCGGACCAGCGCGTTAGTGTTCGAGAACGATCAGGATTGCTTTGAACGGGATAAATACGCACGGCGCGGCGCTTAGTTTAAAACTGAACGCGTAACCAACGTCCAGCGGTTGGGTTAGTAGAGAACAACAAAAAATAATATTATGGCAAGCAGTTGTAAAAAGGTAAAGACATACCACTTTCATTTGGAATAGGAAGAACAATACTTTTTTACAGAAGTTAAAGATAAAAATGTGTGTTTGTTATGTAATACTTCGGTCTCCGTTGCTAAAAAAAAGGAAATATTGAGAGACATCATAAAACTGTACATTCTAATTTTGAAAAATCATTTCCACTACATTCTGCCGCCAGAAAGGAGAAACTGAAACAGTTAAAAAAGCAGTTAATTGGACAACAATCAATATTTTTAAGAACAGTCGACAGAAATAAGGCTGCAACTGAAGCATCGTACCGTGTGTCCCAGATAATTGCACAAAAAAAGAAACCTTATGAAGACGGGGAAATGATAAAACAGGCGTTTTTAGAAGCTGCTGATTCGTTATTTGCCAACTTTAGAAATAAAGACGAGATACTTTCAGCTATAAAATCTATGCAACTTTCTGCTGATACAGTGATGAGACGTGTAGAAGTAATGAGCAATGATATTTTTTACAGTTAAGAACTGACTTAGATAACTGTGTTTATTTTTCACTTCAACTGGATGAATCAACAGATGTCGTTGACACTGCCCAGATCGCTGTGTTCGTCAGGATGGTTTTTAGTGATTTTACGATTAAAAAAGATCTTTTGAAGTTTATTCCACTGAAAGGACACACTACTGGACAGGAGTTGTTTTCTCATTTAAAAATTATTATTTCTTCCTAGAAAATTCCAATATCGAAAATGGTAGGCTTGACAACCGATGGCGCTCCAGCTATGGTGGGTTGTGATAAGGGTCTGGTGGCGTTATGTCGTAAAGATGAAACTTTTCCGCAATTTCTCTGTTACCACTGCATTATCCATCAGCAAGCATTATGTGGAAATTTCCTGAAACTAAACAACGTTATGAAACTGGTGGTAAAAATTGTGAACAAGATTAGAGCTCAAGCGTTACAAAGAAGATTATTCAAAACCTTGGCCGATGAAGTTGACTGTTAATACGGGGACCTACTCCTTCACTCTGAAGTCTGATGGTTAAGTAGAGGACGGGTGCTGAAACGTTTTAATGATGTCCTATCTGGCATAGTTCAATTTTTCAAACAACGCGATGAACCGACTCCGGAACTAGAAAATTCAATCTGGCTTAGAGATTTTGGTTTTCTCGTGGACATTACAGAGAAATTAAACGAACTTAATTTGCAGCTTCAGGGGAGAGACAAAGAACTAGCGGAAATTATTTCTAATATAAAAGCATTTATCAAAAAGCTAGAGTTTTGGGAACAAAATCTAATTAACAGCGATGCCAAGCATTTTCCTATTCTTTCAGAAAAAATATCTCAAAATCCATTAGAACCATATGACAGCAAATATCATGTAGAAATAGTTTCTACCCTGAAGAATAACTTCAAAAATCGTTTTAACGATTTCAACGAAATGGCTTTAGTAGCGCAGTTTGTTGTTTCACCCTTTATGGAAATTGATATCCAACAGTTTGCAACTTGTGTTATGCAGAACTTTGGCGAAGACATCGCTGCAACAGAAATGGAAGTAATTGAGTTTCAAAATGATTTAGCCTTAATATCGTTAGTCTCAAGTACCAAATGTATCTGGCCTAAGTAAAGACAAATATTCAATTCTATGCCGTGTTGCCTTGAAAGTGAAAGCATTATTCAGTTCAACCTATTTGTATGAATCTTCTTTTTCCAATATGAAGTTTATTAAGAACAAAGATCGCAATCGACTTACAGATGAACATTTGGATAATTGTATTCGAATGGCTCTATCAAATTATACTGCAAACATTAAAAAAATTATCGATGAGTCTGAGTGTCAGCCTTCTCATTGAACGTGCTTTTCTATTTTTCAATGTTTATGTTCATGATAGTGCGTTACTTTTTTGTTGTTATTATTAACTATTTTTAAATCTTACGTGACATGCCGTTGTGGCTGGATAAAAGTTTGTGTTTATTTTTCAAACACCTTCGTTTGGTAGGTAGGAATGTAGCTATGAACAAGTACGTACTAGTAATATTAGTTTATTATTAGTACCTATGTATTATGTATTACCAGTTAAATAAATACATATAATGATAAATTAACTGTGGATTATTTCATTTACGTTGCGTTACGTGGCTTCCGTGTGGGTAGCTCGCTGTTTATTCCAAAATTAACAAAGTTGCTTAACACATTGAGAGGTTGGCGACCACTGACTTAGTGCATACAAACCTAAATGTACCAGATCCATATAACGGTACTGTATTTAAAAGTGCAATATCCAATTTGTAATCAGTAAATATGACAATCTTGTCGAAGGTTAACTCGAATGTAATATTGTTCTGAGTAAGTTTTTCTTTTTTTGGCGTAAGAAGATTGGCCTCAATGAGATCTAAATTAGCTGTCTCCAAACCAGAAATAGAATTTTTTTGAAATTCCGCTGTTCCGGCCCTGAAAGATAAATCATTATTTAAGAAAATTATAATAACTGTAATAGAAAAATTCATTACAGTCTATTCGCGATACTTACGCGGGTTTCGGATTAACAAAATTATGCAAATTAGTAATTGACAACCAGCTCAAATAAGCCTCTTCCCAAGAAATTAGGTAAAATTGCCCTAACGGTCAGATTTAAATTAAAGGCTCTTTGTGGAAGAAGTTCTGTCGTGCACAAGAGAATTAACTTTCTGAGAAAATATTCTAAATTTAAAGAAGGTGCAAATTTTATATATTAAGACGAAACATGAATATTTTCTAGGGGTGCAACCAAGAGAATATGGCAAGATGATAACGTAAAGTCCATCAAACATACCGATGGAGAAGGGAAGCGACACATAATTTTACATGCAGGAGGGAAATCGGGTTTTATAGAAGGTGCTGATTTAATATTTTCATCTAAATCAAAATCCAGTGACTATCACGATAATATGAACACAGAAATATTTGTAAAATGGTTGCATGAAAAACTTTTCCCAGGTTTAAGTGAGCCCAGCGTAATTATTTTAAACAATGCACCTTACCTTTCTGAAGTATTAAACAAAAGTCCAACGAATTCTTGGACTGTTGATAAAATTAAAGAATGGTTGACAAAGGAACATATACCATTTTCTCAATATAAAGAGTAATCCAATTTCAGTTTCCTACATTGGCACTACTGTAAATCAGACAGTTGATAATATGCATTTGTTTTCAAAGTGTCAAAAGTCAGTTTGTAGTAACACATTTACGAAACGGGTCGCTTAACGACCGCTCAACGCATGAAAATTGTGCGATTGTTTTATCAAAACAACAATTCCATACAAACCGTATACAGACTTTTACGCGCAGATTATGGTCAAAGTAATCGTCCTACGGAGCGAACTATTCGAAATGTCAAAAAATTTGAAGATACTGGAAGTGTTGCAGATATGAGAAGGTCTGTGAATCATCGTCGTGCACGTTCAGCTGAAATATTGCTGCAGTTAGTGAAAGCTTGGCTGCCAACTCAAGAATGTCGATTCGCCGGCGCTCGCAAGTTTTAGGCTTTTCTTATGGCTCCCTTTGGCGCATTTTACATCAGGATTTGCATTTATACCCATATAAAATTCAGCGAACACAAGAGTTAAAGCCTAGGGACCATAACCAATCAACCCGACACGTTAGTTTATCTGAAAAACAATATTGCCAACATACCACCCGAAATGTTTCAAAAAGTCATCGAAAATTATCTAAAAAGGATCGACTCTTACAGAAGGGCTAGGGGCGGCTATTTAAATGATATTATTTTTTATACTTAATGAAATACTTAATATTTTCTATTGCTAAAGTTAAAATATAATTTTTTCTAAATTTTTGAGTTTTATTCCATTTTAAAGATGGGAAATTCAAATTGGATCACCCTATATTAAAATCTGAATTATTACGCTTGGCAAATATACACGCAAAACCAAAAACCTTTATTGTGGATCAGATTATTGAAAGTTACGGTCATCAAGTTTTACGTCTACCACCGTATCATTGCCAGTTTAATCCCATCGAATATATATGGGGAATAGCAGAACAATATTATGACACAACCATATTGGGCATAATGGTTATAGTGACGACGCAGTTCGGGAAACTTGGCAAAAAGCACTTTCAATTGCAACTCCAGAAGTGTGGCGGAACTGTATATCCAAGTGCGAGAAACTAATAGAAGATTGGTGGACTCGTGAAAATAAAATAAACGATTATTATTTAATTAAAAAGTTGTACATTATTTTTCATTTCATTTAACCAGTTGATATTTCCCCACAGAACAGGTCAAACTTTCGGGTACTTACCTGGAAATACTCATAATAATTTTAATCCGACACCCGCGTAAGTATAGCGAACAGACTGTAATTTAAGTATAATGATTTATATAGATTTATTTCTACCAAAAGGATGTAAGTGTAGAAAATTTTCGTCAGGGGTTTGCTTCTCGGTTTCTACTTGCATCAAAAGATATTTGAAATTGTTGTGACTCTGAAGATTTTATGCTAAACAGTTTTAGTGTTCACTTACGCATAATCATTCCACGTTTCTGGTATTTTAAATTTGTAATCCTTTATGTTCAGTGTAAGATCTTTTAGCATCGGGATCAATTCTTGTAATGTCAATTTTATGCCGTCTAAAAAAATACATGAGAAATATTTTTTTTTCTATAGTAAATAATAATTAATACTTACCTGGATCCATTCCCGATACTGTTTCAGTAAAGAAGACAAATAAATAAACTGAAAGACAAATATTGCATTTCATTGCTTTATCTTGTAAAATAAAAATGTATTTTAAATCTGAAAAATTTTTAAAATTATTGATTTATACATGGGTGAATTTTAAGTTAAAATAAATAAATTAAGTTTCAAAAATTAAGTTAAATGAGAAGTACGTTTTTATCCGTTTTACCTTTTTTTTTTTGTAAGAATCATGCGCGTGCTGGTATTGTAATTCAGTCGTCTGAGATTTACCTCACGTGGTGAACAATCTAGTTTTTTACTTTATTTTGTTACGTTTTATTGACTTTTTATTTAAAACATTATTTCTTACTTTGAAATTTTTGTGGTTGCTTTGGTTTTCCACAAATAAAAATGCCAATTAGTACTCCATTTCTAAACTATTTATAATATGTTGTGTATTAGTGTATACCATTATCCCCAGCTATTTACCTCTCGAGTAGAAATTAATTTTAATCAGAAATAAATTAACTAATTTATTAAAAAAACCATAAGTAAATAAAATGAAATTTTGCACATTTATTTTAAAAAAAAATAACAATTTTTTCTAGATTACGGATTTTTTTTTTATACATATCGGTGTATTGCACAACGCACAATTATTGTTTTAATCATATCTTTATTCTATTAGAGTTTACGGTTTTACTTACAAAATTAAGAATTTTCATTTGAACAATCATTACATGAAATATTGAAAAAAATTCGACTATTTAGTATTAGAAATAAATAACAGCAAATTATCATTACATTTCCTAGTTTTTCACCTTTTCAATAACTGTATTAACTACTGATGATACGTATAACTAAATGGCAGACCAAATTTATTAAAATATTAATTAAAAAAAAGAAACGATATAATTTAAATTAATATTTTAGTGTAATTAAAATTTCATTACACTTGATTATAGTACAGGCAATATTGATCTTGGTGTAGATCAAATTAGAAACGAGCTATTTTTTTAAATATATTAAAAATCCCATTCGGTCCTTCTATTAAAAAAATTGTATATTTACATATTTACCAAAAATTATGTCACCTAAATTTTAAATTGTAATAATTTACTTTTAATTTATTATTGTTTTGTATATAGGGATCCGTAATTACTTTCTTGTAATCTCGTTTAATTGTAATTATTCATTTTACTTAATTTTCCGTTTACCGCTGTGCCAGAACCACATCCCCAACTAGCCATTCATAAAAGTGTATTTGTTGTGAAGTCCTCATCATCATCATCTATTGTATAGTCCAGGAGACAGTGACGATTTTCGGTATTTATTTTCCCAGTCAGCAAGCACGAATAGAGAATTGTAGGATTCGCAATTCTAAGCAAAATTCATATATATTTAGAGGGGGGATCCGATGGGCCGAGGCCGAAAATGCGTCAGAACATACGAGAACACGGCCCTTTTTTTCCATTGATAAAAATAGTTTTAGTAGTAAGAGATGTACTGAAGTTAAGTAAAAAAATAGTCTGATTAATCTGTATGAATAATATATTTGGCAAGTGCATAAAATACACTTTCAAACGAGTTATGTACACAATTATTTCTACGACCACAATTATTTAAAGAATGTTCCAGGTGTTTCGTATATTAAAGTGTACGCATAGGACACATAAATAAAATCATATATCACAATGTTTCACCTAACCAGTTGGTTTATTTATAGAAATTAAACATAATAATTAAAGATATTACAGAAAAAAATAGGGAAATAAATTACATTTCCTTTTAGACTTTTATATAATAATTGTTTTATTTAGAATTAACGAAACACTTATTACTCTACATTAATTATAATTATTGTTAGTTTCGTGATGTCAAATCATTTATACTAGAGGTGTGAGGAAAATAAAGTGAACTGTATAACGCCAATATCGTTGGATGCGCGTGGTAGAAATGGTCCTATAATACTGCTAAAAACATAGCTAAATTTTCATGGAAACACTGTACTTTTGACATTTGCGATACTCTGACGCATATGCATTATTGATGTAATCTCATGATTTTACAGTAATAGTTTTTGCAATTTTAGTGTGATACTTAGGTTATTATGGTTATTCATTTTATTTGGTTCTGATCTTTTGCGCTTTTAGAGTATTTGTCTTTTATATAGTTTTTAATTTGAATTTTAATATTGTGGTCTATTTATATTTGATTGCTGCTTTTCGACTAGTGCTTTATTCTTTTTGTGTTAAAATAAGCTTTATAACCATTAAGTACATGCTTCTAGTTGATATCTACCTAATCGTCATCGGGTGCTTGCAACAATGGGAAAAAGTGTATGGTTTTTTTGGTGTAAAGTTAGACGCCTTCATTTTTCAGGTAAGTTATTTGTAGTTATTTTTTACTTAAAAGGATAGCAATACGTCCTGGTTCGGGGTGTGACTTTTGGGTTTTAGCTATCTGAGCCAAATTGTCGGCTAAGTGTCTTCTTTTAGGGCACCCAGAACCGAAAACTATATAGGTATATAATATGTTTTTTTTTTAATTATTTTTTAATATGTATGCAGCTTGGATGAGGGCTTTAGGATATATATATATATATATATATATATATATATATATATATATATATATATATATATATATATATCTATAGTTAAAAGCACGTAAACTTGGCATCAATGTTCAATCCAATTATTGGGTTTCTATCGTGGACACCACTGTTCATTCTTCAAAAATTTTGTAAATAATCCTATCTGTCTTATATATCTATGGCCAAAACCGTGCACTACCACCGCTGTATTTTTTTTGTAAATATATATTTTAATACCTATTCCTGTGTTTCTCTTATTAGGGTACCGTAGGGTACGAGGTGTAAAGGAGATAAGTGTTTTATTTTTACTTATTCTAGCATAATGGCTACCTAGCAGTGACCGCCTGGAATTATTTTTACCTCTACTGAGTTTTACCTTGAGTACAGTCTGTTGTTGTGCTCATTTGAATTTATTAATTTTCCTTTCTTAGTTTATTTATTAACCTATTTTGTTGGTTTGTGTTTAGTGGGGTCCCGTTATCATCTCACTCATTTTTTAATTTATTTTAATTGACATATATATTTAGTTTACTTATTGAGTCATACAGGTCCAGAGAAAACCTCTCAAGATGTTATATAATATGATATTAAAATATCGTCCAACAATCCTTTGAAATGATACAAGCGGGTAAAGTACGAACTTAAAACATTTAAATTTAACAATTGATTCCAATTATGATTTTTCTCGATAGAGAAATTTAATTCACATTTTACTAAAGTCAAATGTTCAAGGCAAATTAAATAAAACACCTACCATAAAAGGGAAAACTAAATTTATTGACAACATACAAATTTGGTTCCTTAAATTGCAAACAATATCTTATCAATTTCATTTGAAATCAATCTGATGTTTAATAACACTTTGTAGAACTGTATTTATCATTAATATGATATTTCCTAGCTTCACTGCGGCATCTTCTAATTACCAAATAGTACTATAACAAAGTTAGTGCGCATCCTCGTAGTTTTTAAAGGCTGCCATGGCTATATCTTTGAGTTGAAGGGACATTGTAGGTCCGGTCTCCATTACCAGTTTATTCAAATGACCTCCTGGAATCTGTAAAAGTTTGTGTGGATGGTCGAATTCGACCATTTGTCCAAAATTCATAACTAAAACTTTATCCGAGTCCATGATGGTGTTAAGCCTGTGCGCAATAGTTAGAACTGTGCATTCTTTAAACCTCTTGCGAATTGTAGTTTGAATAAATGAATCAGTTCTACAAATATTAAATATAACTTTTGTACTATAACTAAATTATTAATATTTTCTTACCTAAGATCAACGTTAGCTGTTGCTTCATCCATTATAAGAATTTTGTTGTTTCTTAAAGCTGCTCTAGCTAAACAGACTAGCTGTCTCTCTCCTAAACTGAAATTAGCTCCCCCTCCAGCTACTATGAAGTCTAAAGAATCAATTGAATCTTTCAATTCGACCTAAAATGGTATATTCAGCGTAAAAACAAGACAATTAGAAACAATGAGGTGTTTCTCTCACCTGTTCCAAAGCTTTCCATATCTGGTCATCTTCAAATTCATCAAAAGGATCTAAGTTGTATCTTACAGTTGCTGAAAAGAGAACTGGTTCTTGTGGTATAATTGAAATACTTCTTCTCAATTCGTTTAAACCAAGTGTTTGAGTATCTACATCGTCTATAAATATGTAACCTTCTAGTGGTGCCAAACGGAATAATGCGTTTATTAGTGAAGACTTTCCAGCCCCTGTACGGCCGACAATACCGATCTTAAAAAAATTATAAATTAACAAAAAGATGATATAATTATTTACACAGAAATGAAGAATATTCAGGAATAAATACCTAAATAACCTGTTAAAATCGAACCTACAACTTTTAATAGTAATCTAGTAACCTTGCATTAAATCTGATAGTTCTGATTTTTTGTTGAGATATTTATAACTAGTACTTCGATGTTAAAATCGCCAAAAACTAAAGAAACGGAGGAAATATAGTGTTTTTTTGGAGATGTTTTTGTATTTTTGACAATATTGCATTCGGCGCTCGAGGTCGAAAACTTGGATTAGGGGAACAGCTGTTTTGGTGTCGAGGTTTTTTGAGCTGATTCTATTACAATTTGATGTCCTGAATTCAAATAACGTATTCATTTTGACCTAGGAGCTACAATTTTTAAGATATACAATTTTAGAGAAATATAAGTTACATTATTTTAACTCAAATCCGTAAGTGTAGTTAACAAAAGTAGATACGAAATGTTTATTTTAGATATACAAAATACAATATTATGTCGTACTTACAAACAAAAAAAAACATTGAAGAAATCAAATAGTCACTCAACACTTCGATAGCTTCTTTTCCGCGACATTCTTGAATGTTTTTTAAACAGGCCCTTTCTAAACTACAGCAGTAATCTGCCATCATGTGCATGTCCCATCTTCCTTAGTAGCGGTCCTCTATAACTTTAATATCTTGGTGAAATCTTTCACCTTGTTACTCACCCATATCTCCTAAATTTTCTTGTCTAAGTGGTTGTGTAAATAGTGTATTTTAATACTCATATTGCACCCTAAGGATTTGAAACTATTAAGCATCTTGTTAACCATTTCAACATAGTTTTGAGCTTTATGTTTGCCTAGAAAATTTTCTACAACTGCAACAAATGATGTGCAAGCTTCTCGTTCAACTTGATTCATTGAAATTATGAAGGCAGGATCCTTAATTAATTGTCTTATTTGTGGGCCGTCAAATATCCCTGCTTTTAGTTTTTCTGTGCTCAACTGATACATTTAAGTAATTGTTGAAATAGTTATTTTCCTACGACCACTTAGGAAAGTGACACATATCACACTATATAGTCCTATGGAAAGTGTCCTATTCGCTCCGTGCGCGACAGCAGCGCCAATTTGTTTTGGCATTAAAGGACTATTTCTTCCTATACTGACAAATACGATTTTTAATAGAATTCGTAAATAAAAAGTATATATGTTAGTTTTAATAAAAGTATATGGATTTGTAAAACAAGTAAAACATTAATTTATTATTATTATATATTTTTCCCGCCTAAATTAAAGAAAATTATGTTTAATCAATAAAAATCAATAATAAAATATAGGCAGGCAACAGTATTTACTGGAAAATGTATGAGAAGTTGCCTAAGTCTAATAAGTTGTCATTGAAGAATTAACCTATTCTATCAAAATAAAAAATACCATTTAATAATAGCGTGAAGTTAAAATGTATAAAAAAGGATCGTTATTTATATTTTCATTTTTGTTCGAAAGAAAACATAGAATGAATGATTAAAACTGGTTTTCCATCAGTCAAAAAATTGCATTCCAGTCACATATTATAATCAAAGGCAGAAATCTTGAAATCTAGTCCTTGCTGAATGAACATTTAAGAATAAAGGGATATTAAAGAACATCGTAAAATGATAATTTATTGTTTATTTAAAACCTTTCAAGTTTCTGATCTCTACTATTTCCAGCATTACTGTTATTATCACAAAAATAAAGGTAATTTTTCGTCTTATTGTACACCTATCCGTTTATTTCTTTGATTTAATTTCCACTTTGCTAGTGAAATTTTTTATATAAGTTTCACTGTTTTTTTTGCTAGTATTTGTACAATTTTCAACACCGCAACTCCGGTTGCTTATTGTGTTGTTTTTACCTACTTTTTTGAAGAAAAGTAACATGTATACGTGTACTTGATATGCGAAAATTACAAAATATCGCCCTAAAATGCACAAATTATCCGCAGCTAGCGCTAGTATCGCTTTTGCTTCCCTTTCCATGACTTCGCACGAAGCGAATATCACACGCGTATGACTAAGAATTTACTTTCCACCCAAGTGAGAATATGTTACTTTCCGCAGTAGTTGTCAAAAAATGTCAAACGCCTAATTTCTATTTTGATCTATGTAATGTCCATATTAATACTAAAATCGATATGATTGTTAAATTATTGAAATTGTTTTAAATTAGATCCTAGATATTTATCTTTAACAATTATTATTAAAATAATTTTAAAATAACTAAGATTGTTTGCTCTTTAATTTGGGTAAATACATAACCGATTAGATCATTCAATTGACGTAAGGCCCATTAGCTCAGTTGGTTTAGACGTCGAACTTATCAACTTTGCCATTTTTTGACCGCGTTCAATCTATGGTTCAAATCCTGGCGGAGCCGAATTTTTTTTTTGTTTTTTTTTTTATTTTTTATTAGTTTTTTTTGTTTAGAAAATATGAAAATTGAATAAATACGATTATTGTTGATTATTTTTTTAAATACATTTTAATTAATATAGTAATAATAACCTTGGTTTTACATTTTTTTGATATTATTTTGTAAGCTAATTTCTATTTTGATCTATGTAATATCCATATTAATACTAAAATCGATATGATTGTTAAATTATTGAAATTGTTGTAAATTAGATCCTAGATATTTATCTTTAACAATTATTATTAAAATAATTTTAAAATAATGTTTGCTCTTTATTTTGGTTAAATACATAACCGATTAGATCATTCAATTGACACAAGGGCTGTTAGCTCAGCTGGTTTAGGACGTCGAACTTATCAATTTTGCCATTTTTCGACCGCGTTCAATCTATGGTTCAAATCCTGTCGGGGCAGAATTTTTTTTTTGTTTTTTTTTATTTTTTTTTATTTTTTTTTTATTTTTTTTAGTTTTTTTTGTTTAGAAAATATGAAAATTGAATAAATACGATTATTGTTGATTATTTTTTTAAATACATTTTAATTATTATAGTAATAATAACCTTGGTTTTACATTTTTTTGATGACATTATTTTGTGATCGTAGGAAAAATATTGTACATCACTTGTGTGAAAAGTGATTTTCCACACTCGTAATGTAATATACTATTTCCTAACAAGTGCGGAAGTGTTACTTTCCCGCACGCGACTGCATTTGGCCCGAACGACGCGAAGCGGAGTTCGGGCAAGCGGTCAAGTGCGGGAAAGACACTTTACGCATGAGTTAGGAACATTATTTTTTCTACGACCGTATATACAAAAAAGTAGGAAAAATTATTTTTGGAAAATTATTTTATTTCAACATATACAAATCTTTAAATAAAAACAACTAATTATTATGGATATTAATGTTTAATACACAATTTGTAGCATTTTGTAAATTATGTAAAATTGCCGGTACAGAGGAATTAGTTGGTGTTAATTGGCTGTTAATAGTCGTAACGCTCGTAGATTGAAAAGATGACGTGGACGGGAGTGACATCGGTTGCAGGTCGCATGAAGGTGAAAATGACGGTGGCAGCAAAGGTTGCAAGTCATTTCTATTTGAAAGAATTTTATTAAATGGAATAGTTGGAAAATACTAAATTACCTCCAGCAAACATTTTCTATAACATTAGCTATAACTCGACTTTGTTAAAGACGAATTTACTTATTGAGGTAATTATTACGTAAAGTTGACTAGAAAAATATACCTCTAATGTAAATTTACCAAACGGTTTTAATTTATATTTAAATTTACGTAAATTATACCAAGAAATCTACCTTTTACACAAATCTGCTTAAAAGTAACTTTAACCATATTAGCAAGGGAAAAACTACTATAAAAAATAACCAACAATTACTTCAAAGTTAAATTTCCTTTGTAGTAAAATTAGGTGCCATATTTAGGTTATATCTACCTGTTTGGCAACTAAAAATCGTCTTTATAGTAGAATATCCAACTAGGTAGATTTGGTTAAAAATTTTACGTAATTTTATGCCTCCATAGTAACCTATTTGGCCGCTTTTATTTACTCTCCTTTACAGTAATATTAGGTCGAGATCGTAGCAAAATTCTACCTGTTTATCTACCTAATTTCAACCAAATAGTCGAATACTCATTTAGTTGACCTATCAGTAATCTTGAAGAAATATTTATTAACTTTGTTGTAGCAATTACCTGAAAAATCTACCACAAAGTAAATTCGACTAAAAACCACCAATTTAAAAAGAGTTATACATGACCTATTTGTAAAATTTGTATTATTGAGGTTATTTTAACAATTAGGTTGTTCAGTTACTGTCTTCGTCATTATTCTTAAGAATTTCAGCCATTAAAAAAAACCATTACAATCGTAATCTTAATTTACGTGTGGTGTAGATAGAGCTTTAAATGAGTGCGAAAAATAATTAATAAAATGAGTTCGAAAAATAATAAATCATATCGTTATACTTCCGATTTTTATCGTAAAGTGAAACGTCTAAAATCTCAAGTGCAGAACAACGCGACCTAAACATGTTATATTTACCTATAGGTAAATTTTTTATAAAACCTATAAGTTATTATTTCTTTAAATAGGTAAAGTTAACTAATATGTCGTGAAATTGAAGTTAATTCAACTTAATAAAAAGGTATTTGTAAAATACGTAGATTTCCTTAGTCATAATAACTTTTAGGTCGAATTCGCACAATACGCCATATTTTCTTAACGTAATTGAAGTACGATTCCAAATTTTAAATTTTTAAATTTCCCATAACTAGAACATACGAATTAAAATACCGAAAAACGAAACATTATTGATTTTCTAAAGTGATACACAACAAACGTAACATAGTTTTAGCTCATAATATTATTATTTTTTTACACGATCATATTTTTTTCTTATATTTTTTTAATTAGAGAGTATTTTGGAAGGGCATTGTTATTTTTCTAAGTAGAACTGTTAACATACACGACAAAATTTTCTTCGCATTAATTTCAACAAGCGTGAACTGTATATTCACCACAATTACATTACATATATTTTTGTCACCGACATTTATTTATTTTCAATCTTTCATGTGAATTAGGTATATGTTTTAGTTGTGTTGGTGACTTCTTACAATATTTCTACTTATATATAGATAAAAATACCAAATAAGTATAAAATTTCTTTTCGTACACTTGGAGGCATACGTCATCTGCAAATATTTTGGTAGTTTCTACCTAAACTTAGTTAAATCAACGTCGAATTAACGTTATACTGACGTCAAATTTCCCTAGAGAGGTATTACTAACCAAACGTACTGGGCTACTACAATGTGGATTTAGATGTAATTCTACCTATTTTGGTAAATAAAACCAAATTTCGACGTCGTCTTATTCTCCACTTATGTCGAATCCACGTCGAGCCAACGTAAATTTTACTTAATTATGGTTAAATCTAATTTTGCGACCAAATTTATTATATATAATTTAGGTAGTATCGACGTCAAATTACACCAAAATGTTTGCTGGGCAATAGTTATAACATCCGAGGTAAAAAAACTATACAATAGGTAAGGCCAAATATTCATAATTTTACTTTCCCGCACTAGTGCAGGAAAGTGATTTTTTCCCGCACTAGTGCGGGAAAGTGACACTTTCAAAACTAAAATGCGTGCGGGAAAGTGGGTAAAAATACACGGTCGTAGAAATAATAATTATTAAAATATTTTCCTAATATTTATTTATACCAACCCCTCAGACTATGGTTTTAATTTAATGTGTTCTTATGTTGCTAGGAAATAGTTTTTTTTATGACTTTGATGTATTGTATTTTAATTAAGACAGAATATTTTTCCTTTAATAAAACTCATATAGAATCTATAGTTTCAATTAAAAGGAAAGTAAAGTAAAATCACAACAGGTTATGAGCCCAGGGGCGATGATTGCATAAAAACTGCCAAGTAAAAAAACACGAACTGAAGAAATAAAAATAAAAAAAAAATTCTTCATTTTTTGGCGTCTGTCAGGTCAGTCACTGCGGAATAAAGTAAAAAGGGTAATGGTAAAAGTTTAAAACAGTAAAATGGCAGCTGAAGGATAAATTAACCAAATTGAGAAACTAACTGACTCAGAAAGTTTTGTTTTGTGGAAATTTTAAATCACCGTAATATTGAAGGCTCATGGATTGTACGAAATTTATCAAGATTACAACTATAAATTGACACATTTTAACAACTTATAACTCGAAAACGGAAAAAGATATCGAGATGCAGTTTTCACTAGACCTTTTACATTTACTTCAAGTTGTTCTTGACATTGTTGTCACATGTAATTTTTTTCTGAAAAGTGTCGAAAAAAAAACGAACTTTTTTGAATCAAAATTGTGAGCTTATTTTAAATAGAACACCCTATAATTTTGAACATCCTCGGAAAGACCATTTCTTTCCCTTTCTAAAAATGTATTCATTGTAAGCATTTATTCAATTTTTTTGGGAAAAATTTACTTTTCTATGAAACCATGTCGATAACTTCTAAACGTAAAGTATCACAATTTAAAAGCCTTTAACTCGATAATGTGACAATTTATTGATAAGACGTTTTGACTAAAATTCTGAGAAATGTTTAATTTTTTTATAAAATGGTTGTAAAGTCTCAAATGTCTAAAATTTTCGTAAAAAAATACTTTTACCAATTCAGATTAAGGGCTTATGATGAATAAAATTCTTCGTATTTGTAACGTTTATTTGCAAGCCTTTATCCATAAATCATCATTTAAAAGAATATCTTAAGCGTTTTCAATATATACCTATATCTGTTTTTTTTTGTCTATTTAATATTCCTCTTTTTGTAAATTAACTTACTCTTTGGATAGAATATGAATGAGTCAATAAATGATACTACTAATTTATCAAGGGTGCTATGTAAAACAAATCGAGTTGACAGAAGTCTATATTTGTATTAATTAGTGCAAGAGAAAGCAGGTATTAAAAAATGTTTACCAAAAGTGAAAAAGCCCGGTGCATTTTACTTTATATTGAAAGTAGATCAATTACACATACACAAAGAAGATTTAGAAATATGTTTGAAAAAATTCGCCAACCAGAAATTCTATTTTAAACTGGGTAAGTCAGTTTAACGAAACGGGAACATTAGATAGAAAAAAAAGACAAATTGAAAACGCTCAAGATATTATTTTAAATGATGTTATACAGATAAGGAAAATTTTAGCAAGAAACAATAATAAAATATCTATTAGAAAAATTGCCCAATCCATACATATGTCAAAGAGTAAGGTGCATAAAATTTTAAAGGTAATCAAGTTTAAAGCATATAAGGTTCAGACTTTTCATAAAATTGAAAATCATGCATTTGAAAAGAGAGTTTTTATGTGTGAGACGTTATTAGATTTATTTAGACATCAACCAAATGTAAATCTAATAATGTCAGATGAAGCAACGTTTCATTTAAGTGGACGCGTAAACAAACACAATTGTAGGATTTGGGGTGACGAAAATCCTAGAGCTTTCAACGAGTTTGAAAGAGATGCTCCCAAGGTAAATGTATGGTGTGGTGTGTCCAAAACTAAAATTTATGGACCATTCTTCTTTCAAGAGGAAACAGTATATGGAAACAATTAACGGATATGCTAGAACTATTCTTTTATCCTCAACTAGAACAAGAAGAAATACTAAATACTGTATATTTCCAGCAAGATGGTGCTCCACCGCATTACTCTCTTGTAGCCAGGAATTCTTTGAACTCAACCTTTGGAGATAAATGGATAGGTCGGGCTGGTCCCATCGAGTGGGCTCCATATTCTCCGGATTTAACTATACCAGATTTTTTTATATGGGGGTATGTTAAGGAAAGATGCTACGATCCAACACCTACAAACTTAACTGAACTCAGGAATAATATAATTCATGTGTTTAATACAATTACCCCAGAAATGCTGCAAAATGCATTTACAAATTTTTTAATGCGTCTGCATACATGTATTGAACAAAATGGAGGCCATATTCAACAATTAATTTATTAATGTTTTTGTATATATTTTTTGTATTCAATAAAAATTCAGATAGGTACCAACATGGTGGGACACCACTTACGCCACAAAAATCCGTGTGGTATGAGGTGCTCCCCTCTGTCTTTATAAGTAAAATATCATTAGTTGATATTATTCTGAAATTTATACCTAAGGGACAAGGCAATGAAAAACAGTATCTTATCAATGATCGTTCGATGTAAAACGTCAATTTATATTTCGATATGTGCCACCAAAATGTAATAGACACCGTTAACATTGATTTAATTACCTAAAATTAAAACCTATTAAAGTAGTAAAAAAATTATAAAAAATTGACTTTTTTTAAAAGGCAAAGAAATAAACTATCTAATGACTATGAGAGACCTTAATCTGAATTTAATTTTTTTTACGAAAACTTTACAAGTTTAAGATTTGGCAACTATGTCAGAAAAAAATGTAAACATTTCCAAGAATTTTGGTGAAAACCTTTTATCAATACATTGCCTTACTCCCAAATTTAATTAATTGTGATACTTTACGTTTGGAAGTTATTGACATGGTTGCATAAAAAAGTGAATGTTTCCCTAAAAAATAAAGTAAATGCTTACAATGTATACATTTTTGGAAAGGGGAAGAAATGGTCTTTCCAAGGATGTTAAAAATTATAAGGTGTTCTATTTAAAATAAGCTCACAATTTTGGTTCAAAAAAGTTCGTTTTTTTTTTAGCACTTTCCAGAAAAAAATTACATGTGGCAACAATGTCAAGAAAAACTTGAAGTAAAATTTTCGATTTTGTAAAAAAATACTTTACTCTTGAGCAAAATTCATATTTTTTGACAAACCTCGTATACGGCTTGAACAATTTGATATCTGATGAATGTATTTTAAGTTTTGGTTCATGCAGGACTTTTTATCAAGAATAACTTTTTTTCCTAAAATCAATAATAAAAATGTTTTCCATATGGTTCCAACTTAATAATTTTAGAACTCTCATAAATGAATATACTGAATAAAAACCACATTGGTAGATAAGTTGATGTATCTAAAAAAGTAGAGCTGATAGAGAAAAACTGATTGCATGTACAGATTTAGCGTCTCAAATATAATTAAAATCAGCTCTAAAATCTCAGGCACCAAAAAAAAAATATTATTTTGTTGCCCTGTGTTATTCATTCAGTCAAAATCATAAATTACTACTGAATATGAAGCAAGGTTATCCCTTTTCGGGCGACAGGGTTACTACACTATACAACAACCTAGCTGCTACACCATATGAACGTATCTATTTTTTTTTTTTGTATCAAAACTTAATTCACATATTGAATTATATTTGTAAAATAAACATAATGAGTACAACAAAACTTAAATAACACAAACCTTTTGTCCTGATTTTACCAAGAAGTTAAGATTATTTAAAACTGGTGGATCATCTTCAATATACTTCAAAACTAAATTTTTAAATTCTATTCGACCTTTACTTGGCCATGGACTCTTTGGAAGATTTTCTAAAAGTTTAAAACAAATATAGTTTATTACTTATCATAATACTAGATTTGGAACCTCTGCTATTGCCCTAGTCCGTCTTCGGATCCATAGGGTTTAAGCTTGGCGGCAATATAGCCTTCTAGCGTATTATTTGATGGTTAAATTACAATTACATTGAAAGTAGCTAGAGGGTTTAGTTTTACCTTTGGGTGTCTCAAAGGGTCCTTCTTGATCAATTGTGGTGTACTGCAATACCCTTTCTATACTGGTAAGTTGGTTGATAACTTCCGCCAGTTCACGCATTCCAGATTGCAACATTCCAGTTAAAACCATTGACTGTGAAATGGCTAGACCAACTAGACTGCCACTCACATTAAATACTAGAAACAATTTTTACTTATAATCTTCTAAACGCTTGAGTTATTGTATATTTTAAGTTCATAAATTTTTTTGAAAATTATTCTGAGGCATCTACACAATGCAATGTTAAAAAAATCCACCTATTTTAGTTGCAAAAAAATTATTTATAATGAATTAATAAATATATCGATCTATCGACGAATGTAAACATATTGATGTGAGCTCGTGTTAAAAGTTTAAAATAAGTGGTTTATAGGAAAGTGAAAATTCTGAAAACCTGCCAGTTGATGGGATATGTGTTTCTTAGGTTTCTAGAAACAATTGGACAGTTGTAAGTTACAAATTAAGTTTAGAATATTATTTAAAATCAGCGTTTACTACTTAGCCATATTAAATTGGTTAAAAACTTAGAAATCAATCATTAGTTCGGGGCAAGAATATGGTAATTAATTATTAAATCGAGTAACATGGATGAAATAAAACAGTTCATAATTGAACAAAACAACATACTTGTCAAGAAACTTTTTGCTGAAATTAAAGAAGTGAAAGACTTAATAATAGGTAACTCGACTAAAATTGAAATATTAGAAAAAGATATTGAAGATCTTAAGTCAAGAAATAACTTTCTGGAAAACAGGATAAGACCAAATGGTATTTTAATTTTCAATTCCAAATTCCAAGGCAGTGACGTTCTGAATTTTACAGTTAACTTAATAAATTCGAATCTCGGTCTTGAAATAAAAACTGAAGACATTGATAATATATATATACAATTGGCAAAAATACTGAAAATCAAACAATATTTATTAAATTTGTAAGATATTTGGTTAAAAAGCAAATACTACAAAATTGCAAAAAATTAAGTGGAACCAATATATCAATAGTTGAAGATTTATCTGCAGAAGAAAGAACGGAAAAAAATTTCTCGTTGATAAATAGCATAAAAAAAGAAACAGTAAAAAGAAAGTACATATATTTAAGAATAGATTATTTATAAGAGGTAAGGGGTATACTTATTAAGAACTACTTCGTTCTGAGACTGAAATAGACAACGCAGAAGAACTGCCGAAAATAATTCTCAAAATCAAAAAGTACCCAAGAATAAATTAGAAAGGACTGATTCTTCATCTAGCTCCACGTCTATAATAACATTAATAACCAAAAGCCAAAATCTGAAAAAGTAAAAGACTTTTATTTAACTAGTTTTATTTCGCTTGTTTTATGTATTATCTAATGTAAATAAAAACTAGTATCATTTATAATTTCTCAAATAAACCTTATTTTGTATATATAGGTATCAGTCAATTCTCAACTAAGTATATTTCTTTTTTTTTAATTACAAATAAAAATTATGTTATTTTATTTTGGAAATTTAAATATCTGTTCGCTACTGCCGAAACTAAATCATATTAAAAATATTTTAAATTCAAATCAGTATGATGTTTTCGGTCTCTGTGAAACGTGGTTACATCCGGGGATTGTCGATGAATTGGTACATATTGATGGTTATCAGTTATAGTCTATTTTTATGTATGAAAGAGTATTAAAATAATAAAGCGTTCGTAATCCATAGGCGTACTACTTCTTTTAGTAGACAGTTAAAATATTTTTTGAAGTTATTCCTCGAGTATACACTTATATTTTCACCTAATTAACCTGCTTATAACTTCTAAACAGCTGAAGGTAAAAAAGTGCAATTTTTTCTAAAATGTTTTATTTTTTCACAAGGTATGTTAAGAAAATTGTGTCAAACGGGTTATGTAGGTATAAGGGTTTAAACTTTGACTTTTAAACAACGTTACGTTCATAAATAACAATTTTAATATAAAAACTACTTCTTATCTACAAATCCAAATCAGAATCGAAATCAGAAGATGAACTGTCGCAACCAATATTTACAATGAGTGGCTCGATCATTTCATCAGTAATATTGTCCAACTTCCACATTTTCTCTTCTTCTTTAATCGTATGATTTACTGCCTTTTCCCAGTTTTCAGGCTTCACGTTATTTACAGCGTCCAAAAACAACTGTTTAACATCACTCATTTTAAAACAATTATTTTTTCTTGAAACTTCTCCCTTTATCGTGCCCATATCAGTTCAATCGGGTTTACTTCGCAATGATATGGTGGTGATCTAACCACCGTCATCCCACGATTTTTTGCAATTTCATCAATTTCATATTTTTTGAATTTCTCTTTATGAAGGGAACACAAATAATACAGTTCTTTTCTCACAGAAACGGGATGGAACTTAATATTCTTTGAATTTAGCCAATTCTGTAAATCTTTTTTTAACCACTTGGTTGTGGGCATTTTTTCTATAAGTCTCGAGTGATAACTTGCATTATCCATTACTATTATACAGTTCTCAGGAAGAAGATCTATAATTTGTTCGAACCACTCTTTAAAGACATCAGTATTCATGTCCTCATGGTAGTCACCGGTACGAGTAGATTCAAAAGTCAATAAACCACCTTTAACAAAACCGTTTGAACTACCGATGTGTACTATTATTAGTCTGCGCCCCTTTCCTGATGGTGGATTTAAACCGGTAGATAAATTATTTAAAAAAGCCTGTCTTCGACTTGTAACAGTTTCATCTTGCCAAAATTTATTTGGTTTACGTCCCTCGTTGATCCATGTTTCATCTAAATAAAATATATTTCTTCTTTGGTTTCTCATTTCTTTTATAGTCCTTAGGTAATTTCTTCTCCATACTACAATATCGCTTCTTTCTATTAAAATAGACTTTCTGGAATGCGTTTTCCATAGAAAACCTATTTCTTATAAAAGTTTCCATAGTGTGCTTCGACTCATTTCAGGGTAATCCTTATCATCTCGAACCGTGGCAAGAACTTTGTCTACTGTCGGAAATTCTTTTCTAAAGAAGAACGCATGCATTTTCCTTCGAAGTCTTTCTTTCAAAAGATTTTCTAATTGAAATTTTGGTTTTCCTGGAGCTTTACGTGCTGTTTGAAACTCGCCACATTTCTCTTCTTTAACAACTCTGTAAATCGTAGATTTCCCAACACCAAGCGTACTACTAACTAATTCCACTGTGTCATCAACACTTTTACATAAATATTTGTCTGTAAATGATTTAAAACAATTAAATATTAATGTTTTTTCATTAACTGTTAAAGGATAGATTTTTTGTCGTTTACGCGGCCCTTCCAAATTTTCCATGACCACACTAGAATTCACACTGCACCTTGCAAGTTGCAACTAAACGACATTTAGTAAACTGTCAAGAATACACAACTTGGATCTCCTTACTAAATGGAAAACCTATAGTCGCATTTTTGGTGAAATTTGTTGGGAAGGTATTTATCTACTTATAATTCGATTACTGTAAGACATTCTTGAAATTAAAATAAAACAAAATTGGCAAATAGGTACTTATTGAAAATAATCTTAAGATACGGCTATGTAATCTTTAATACACAGGGCTTTTGGCCTGTCCAAACCTTTTTCTATTGTTCTGTATAGCTTATGTTTATAAAGGACCAATAAAAGACCCAAAACTTGTAATAGCTCAGGTACATTTATTACAATTTTAGGAAATATTTAGATTATTCTGTAAAAATATTTAAAATGACCGTACTAAGTTTTGCATTAGAAATGCTGTTCTATTACTCTCTCATACATAAAAATAGACATTAGTGAGATCTTATCGATTATCTAAACGCGGAGGCGGAGTAGCCTTCTATATTAAAAATAACCTTCAATTCAAAATAATTAGCATAGAAAATTTAGAATTCTTAGAGTATATTTGGCTTGAAATAAGAGCTGTCAAAATCATAACCAGCTGGATGAAAAATAAAAGCTTTAAACTCACACCACACAAAACAGAAATTATGATATTGGTAAGTGGTAGGAAATAGAAATCTATATCAATGAAAGTTGAAGATGTTCAATTACAAAGCCAGGAAATGTGCAAATACCTTGGCGTGTATTTTGATAGAAATATGAGAATGGGACAACATATCCGTATGATTGCTGAAAAGGCCACGAAAGCGTTAGCAAATATCAGTCGCATAATGCCAAATCTGGGAGGACCAAGGGAAAATAACAGAAGAATATTATGTTCGGTGATACAGTCAATAATTCTATACGCTGTAAGCATATGGAAAAGAGCAATTGAGAAGAAAATTTATAGAAATATCCTACTGAGAGTACAACGAAAAACGGCTATAAGAATAACTAGTGCGTACCGGACAACATCGACAAGTGCTCTACTTCTAATTGCGAGGATGCCGCCGATAAATCTACTTGTGGAAGAACGAATTATGGTTGAAGAAGGTAATGAACCCAAGACCAGCGCTCGAAATAAAATAGTAGAAAAACAGCAAGCGACGTGGGCAATAGACGACGCAAAAGCAAACTGGACTAAGAGATTGGTGCCACATATAAACTACTTTCTTACACAAATACTGACAGAACACGGAGCCTTTCAGGCCTATTTATATAGATTTGGACTAAGTGATACAGCTGACTGTATCTATTGTGGCATGCGGGATACATCCGAACATACGTTCTTCGAATGCCAAAGATGGGAAGACGAAAGAAGGCAGCTAGAAACATTTCCAGGGAGGATCAGTCCATAAACCCTCGTAAGTAGAATGATGGAATCGAAGGAAATATGGGAACTTGTAAATAACACAGCCATTATTATTATGTCCACTAAAAGAAAATACATGAACTACATTATAAGATGAGCCCAAAACATCAAATAACAAAGCGTCTTCTCGAAGTAATGCCAGCAGGTAGTTCCAAGAAGACCCACAACGCTTTAAGGGTGATTTTAGTGGGTATACCGGCCTTGCACCTTCCAGCCGGGAGTCCCACACTACCAGGTACAGGTAGAACCACATGCCTGGGTGGCTATTCTTGAATTCGAGGGAGTAGAAAACCGGTTTCTCCTCTTTATCTGCAACGCAAAAAAATGTATTTTTGTCTCATTCTTCCCTCAAAATTTCTACTCCCTGAGATTCAAGAATAGATTCCCGTAATGGATTCCCACCCTACCAGAAAAAAAAATGCTGGATTGTTACAGTCTCAATAATAATGAACGATTGAATGAAAATGCTACTTACAGTTAAACAAGAGAACAAAGCTAAATATAACAGTAGCTGCAAATACCAAGCATACTAAGTCGAGCCATAATCCAAAGGAGAACATACATGAGAGGATCAAGTACCATGCTGAGGTGTGAATGTCCTACAAAAAGTATATTATTATAAAAATAATAAAAAAAATTTTAAATATTACCTGATGATTATCGAATTCTACAGATAAAATATTTTGTGCATTTGATGCTCTGATGGTCACTATGCCGTTTAAGGTGGAGTTGACATGTGAAAAAACTGGTGATTTTGCTAAAAGTAGTAATGAATAATTTTTGTTAGTATATGAATATTGTATTTCATATTTCGTCGTATTGGTGGTAAAAAGAGCTAAGCCACACACTTATTAATTAGAGAAAATGGGTAAATTAATTTGTAACTCTTAGGTTGATTTAAATCTTAAGTTATTTATGTACTAAATATGATAAAATTTGGTACAAACGGAAACACGTCCTTCATTTTAAGACTGATTTAAAAATGGAAGAAAAAGAAATGTATATCGCTTAAAAATGCTTTACCACTGAAAGATATATATGTATTTTCACCTAGCTTTTTTCAGTTTGTGGGATTTTAAGGTTATAATTACAAAATCGCTTATCTCTCTTCACCACTGTATGTGGCCTAGCTCTTTTCACCACCAATACGACAATGTTAAAGTTTTGCAACTGTACTTACTAATTCCTTCTAGATGTTTGAGAGCTTTAGCAGTCAACATATACCATCCTTTAAGTTTGATACATATTGCTCCTAAAATAACTATAGCGATGACTATATAGTGATTGGTTATTGCAACGTTTATCAAAATTCCAGTCATTACTAAAAGAACCTAAAAATATTCAATAAGAAATACTGACACTGAAATCAAGGATGGATTTAAGAGGGGCAGGGGGTCATGATATCCCTCCAAAGATTAACATTCTTATAATCCATGAGCCTTTTATTGTCAAAAAAATATGCTAAAAAGGGATTTGTTATTGGAAATTATAATTTTAGTTCGTTCTCTTCCCAAGTAACATTTTTAGATTTAACAAAGTATACAAGGTATCCATAAAACCTTTTTTTAAGACACTAATAAAACTTTTGATTCCGCGAGATAGCCTTAAGGCTGCTATAAATCTGCTTTAAGAATAAAAGGCAGAATTCTATAACGGTTTTGAGGAGTATTTTTAAAACAATATCTTAAGACTAATTAGACTTAAGACAAAGTCCGTAAGAGTATGTTAAGAATTTTATTAAACCATTTTTAAATCCTTTTTAAGATTATGATAATTAGTGGAATAGGCATAAAAACTTTATAAAACTAATCAGTTTTAAGATAATTAAATTTTAAACTGTTTTAGCTTTATTCTGTTTTATCATACTCTCTGACAGAATGATTTTGCAAACATGTTGGGAAGACTGCCATATTAGAAATTAATTATTATACAGTGTATGTTTAATTACACTTGTTATTGCTTTAATTTTCAAATACACACTAAAGTACTATTAAAAGTGGGCAAGGTGGGTCGAAATAAATGATGGGCCTTACAATATATGAAATATACGTGAAAAACGATTATTATACGGATTATAATCTATTTACCGAAAGTTATTTAATAGAAAATAACATTGTAAATATCGAATACATACCACATATTCCTTAGACCAAAATAAGTCGATTTAAGTAAAATTACCTTAGTACAAAGTTGCTTCGTTTGGGCTCCAGAGGGCCTTGAAGTTACAATTTTTAAATCGTTTTTCCTATATAAATTTAAAACGGCATATGCGATTTTGCTGAAATTTGGTATATTGGTAGAGTTTTAAGTGGCAAACAAAATGGTAATAAAATTTTGTCCGATAATAATACAAAGGCGTAGAACTTGATTTCTTTAAATAATTGTACCTTTAAAAATTCTACGCCAATGAAAGAAAAGGAGTTTGAGTATGAAATTTAGATTGCGCAACTCATTTACTTTAAAAAAGGTACTCCTGATAAAACTCGATTTCTCTCATGGTTTTCGCTAAATTTCTGTTTTAATAATTTAGAGTGTATAGGTTTCACAAAAATATTTATTTACAACATAATCAAAATAGAGATTTTACAAAAATTGTTCAAAATGTTCACCATTTTCACGCATACAAAGATTTATACGTCGAAGAAAATTAAAATGTATCCTTTCCATAACTTCTTCATCCCCTCTAAGATTGTTTATTGCATCTTGAATATGTTGCCAGAGTTGTTCCTCATTTTCTACAGATTTCCTATAAACTGAGGATTTCAGATGTCCCCATAAAAAGTAATCCATCGGTGTTAGGTCTGGGAAACGTGGTGGCCACTTTACAGGTGCGTCATTACCTCTGCCTATCCATGTGTGTGGATATTGTTCATTTAAGTGGTTTCTAACGTTTAAAGAAAAATGTGGTGGAGCTCCATCTTGCATAAACCACATATCTCTCCGAAGTTGGAGAGGTAAATCTTCTAACAATTCTGGCAACGTATTTTGTAGAAAATCCAAATAATTTTCTCCAGTTAATCTTCGTGAAAGTATGACAGAACCAACAATGAAATTACCAATTATTCCAGCCCACACATTAATTTTGAATTCGTGCTGAAAATGGTTTACCTTTATTGCATGCGGATTTTCAACGGTATAAACATGTTCATTATGGGTATTAGTTATACCTCTTCTTGTAAAACCCGTTTCATCGGTAAAGAGAACCTTCTTGACAAAGTTTGGATCTCTTTCTCTTTGCATATTAACAAATCGGCAAAAACCCAAACGAATTTGAGGATCATGGACTAATAATTCTTGTACTGGCTTCTTATGGTATGGATATAGCAATTGTTCTCTAAGCACTTTATGAACGACATCTTTACTTACTCACAGTTCCCTTCCAATTCGTCTGGTGCTTAATTCTGGATCTTCTTCAACACGTTCTAAAATGTCTTCTTCAACTTCAGGAATCCTTACAAAACGTTCTCTTCCATTATCAACAGTGTTGGGAGCAAAGGAACCGGTCTCCCGAAGACGTCTCTCAACAGCAGCAAAAGTTGGGTGGCTAGGTACACGACGATTTGGAAACCTTTCAGAGTACACCCTGACACTCTCTCGACCGTTTCCTTCACAAAATCCTAATGTCAGTAACATATCGGTATATTCTGCATTGGTATATTGTACAGCCATATTAATAAACCACGTATTTGTTTTTTTAATTATTGAGTCAGATAGAACACTTTCAATCGTTAACAAGAGATTAGGTGTAAAAACTTGACAATATTTTTATTTAGATGAAACTATGGAAACCAACAATAAATGTTTTTGTATATGTATTGCAGGCAAATAATTAATATTCCTCAAAAAATCGTACATGGCAAGAATCGAATATTTTTGTTAAAAGTCTCGATTAGAGGTGTTGAAGAAGATATGAAAAAAGTACATTTTATGTTTTTCATCGTATAAAATTTTGTTCGATAATAATACATAGGCGTAGAACTTGAGTTTTTAAATAATTGCACCTTTAAAAATTCTACGCCAATGGCAGAAAAGGGGTTTGAGTATGAAATTTGGATTGGGTACTCATTTACTACAAAAAAGTACCCTTGATAACACTCGATTTACTCTCATGGTTTTGACAAAGTTTGTATTTTAATAATTATTGTTTATGTTCTAAAATTACTAAAATGCAAATTTCGTCAAAACCATAAAAGTAATCGAGTCTTATCTAGAGTACCTTTTTTAAAGTAAATGAATTGCGCAATCTAAATTTCATACTCAAACTCCTTTTCTTTCATTGGCGGAGAATTTTTAAAGGTGTAATTATTTAAAAAATCAAGTTCTACACCTATGTATTATTATCGGGCAAAATTTTAATACCTTTTTTTTTGGTCACATAAAACTCTACCAATATACCAAATTTTAGAAAAATATTTTCTATGGAAATTACCACTTTTCTTTATTTTGAACAATTTATCTTTCAACGTCAGCATAATGTGATTGAGTTGAAAAGCTAGGTTATGCTTTAAAACAAACTGTTGAAATTACATTTCTATCTGCAGGGCAGATTAATTTAAATCAGCATTTAGCAAACAAAAAAGAATAAAATACTAAATAGACACGCCCTGTATAAACCTCCGCACTTAACAAATAAAATAGAATAAAATAGTAAATAGACACTCCCTGTATAAATCAATTATCCAAAGTTGTGCAATAACCATCCTTTTAACTTTCAAGTAACCTTCAAAGACACCTGTTGCTTCTAATACATTTAAAGCTAGTTACGCGAGATTTTTCACTCAATCATAAGAAAGATCTTAAAAACAATGGTCTCGTGTGCAAAAACATATGATTAAAGAGAGCCAATTAGAAGAAAGCTAAAAAGCCGGCGTGGGTTGACAAGCTACGGCAAAACAAACTAAAATCACTTTCGCTTTTTCAGTCGAACAAGCAACAAGTCGCAAAAACTTTAACCTAAAAAGCCGGCATTCGCGGTAACCATTCCAAGCATGTGCGATTTGATTTTATAAAAAGTTGATATGTAACTTGTCAATACTTCTATGTAACGTATCAAACAGCGAATATATCAAATTCAAATGTAGGGTGATGGTTTTATTTTAATACACCCAGTGCTTCAACTAGAACTTCAAGAATATCTTCCAGAGGCTACAGGGTGGAGCATAAGGCCTCCACCCCAGGTAATCTAATTTGAATACAGTCCACCATGATCGAAGGCAGTATACGTCAGGCCCTATAAAGATAGGTCTATACAAACTTTAGTTCTTATTAAAATATGTAGTTTTAAAAGAGCCCTATGGGTTACTAGATTAAATAAATTATAAGAGTTATGTTGTAAAATTGTAGAAAATGTACCTAAAAGGTTCTGGGATCAATTTAATTTAAAGTATAATCCTAAAACACTTTTTAAAACTAAGTTTTAAAACCTACTTAAGATAACTGCTAAAAAGTATGCCTCTTTAACACCAAACACACCTTAGGAGTATCTTAAAACTAAATAGTTCTAAAATTACTTATTAATTAACCCTTACAGGACAGCGATAAAGCATAGTTTACTTTAGGATAAACTAGTTTTTTAAACAGATTTAAAGGAATCTATAAAACCAAGTAATAAGATCCATTTATCCTGCAGTCCTATTAGCAAAAAAAACTGTAATAAAATAATTGTTAATTTTTATGCTTTTACAAAATCCTAATAAAACATAAATAAAACTTTATTCTCTTAAAAATGTTACTTGGGTTTTTAATTTATTCTAATAAAAGAATTGTTAAATTTCCATTATTAATATTATAATAATTTTATAAAATAATATACGAGTACTTATATATTTACCTGAAGAACAGTTAGTAATACCCTTGGAAGAATTTCATCTATAGCTCCAATATCTTTCGAAAATCTATTAAGAATTCGTCCACTCGGATTGGTATCAAAAAATCTCATTGGAGCTTTTAACAACGAATGAAACATTTTGGAGTGCAAATTTTTCGATGACATCATGCACATTTTGAAATATAAAAACGATCTTCCTGTGGTCAACAAAATGGCCCCTACTATCAAACCTCCGTAAAAGTACATAGCATAATATGTTTTAATGATTTTATAATGCTCATTATCGATTGTTATATCATCAAAAATACCATCAGATGGAGGAGTAAATACGGATGTATTTTTTTGAACTTCGTATGTATAGATGTGCGTGTCTTGAGGGTTAATTGAATCTTCTAACCTGAATATCTCAACTGTTGCAGTTACTGGAGGACCCAATGTGGCATTAATTAAAGTAGAGTTATTTTTAAAATGTCGTATCTCTTCTTCTATGGTCCTAAAAATTAATAATTGTAATAATTATCAATAATACTCAAAATATTAATGGAAATATAGTTAAAAAATCGAGTAACTAAGTGATTTTATTAATTTAAAAGTAATACTTACCAAAAAGCTACCCACAAATCAGCGCCAGTGCATATACTTTGAGCTAAAATCATTAACATAATCAATAAACATAGAAGGCAAATATTATTAGTAGCTAAAAGATATTTCTTAAAAGCTTGATGATTTCCATCTTTTCCTGAGTCTTCTTCTTCAATATCCAAAGGTTCTTGTATATATTCAATTGTATCAGCCTTGCTGTCCTAAAAGAACGATAATATAAGTATGGTAAATGCGTTTGAAAACTGAAAAAGTTTCGATTTACCAAAGAAATAGAGGAAGTTCGTCTACTTGAAATAGTCAACATAAACTCGGATAATCCCGGCTCTTGTTCTTGTTTTTCATGCGTTTCATCTGCAGCTACTAATAATTTAGTGAAATCCAATTTAGAATTTGAAAGTTGTTCAAAGGTACCTTGGGCTTCAATTGTCCCCTAGAAGTAAATATACGAAACATGATTCCAAAGCAAATGGAAAATAAATTATCTTGGTTAGAAATAAGAGAATTTATTATTGACTTACTTTATTTATGACAATAATCAAATTAGCTTGCTTCAGATATTGTAACTGATGTGTTACTAAAATTCTTATTCTTCCTTTCAAGTGTCTATTGATGCAGTCTTCAAACAGTTGCTTTCCAACGTGGGTATCTACAGCAGATAACGGATCATCGAACAAATAAATATCTGCTTGTCTATAAACAGCTCTAGCAAGATTGATCCTTGCTCTTTGCCCTCCACTTAGAGAAACTCCTCGTTCCCCTACAATTGTTTTATCACCTAGCGGAAACTGTTCAAAATCCCTTTCCAAAGCACACACTTTTACCACTTTTTCATAGAAATACTTCTCGTATTTTCTTCCAAATAGGATATTGTTACGCACTGTTGATTGAAACAGCCATGGTTCTTGGGAACAGTATGAAATTTCACCACCTATTTGAGTTTTTCCAGATTTAGAGGGCAGTTCTCCCAGCAGAAGCTTAAAACAAACACATTAGATTCTGATATAATTACCGTAAAGAATATTGAACGAAGAAAAGATTGTATACCTGCAACAACGATGATTTTCCTGCACCTACAGGTCCAACAATAGCACACAGAGTTCCTGGGAGTATTGTTAAAGATATGTCCTTTAAAGTCGTTGTAGACTCTTCCCAAGACGCATTTACACTACTAAGTATAACAGCTTTCTTTTTCAGCTTTTCTATTTTAGATTGCTCTTTTTCTTCTAATAGCAAAAATTCTTGTAGTCTCTTAACTGAAATCCAAGCTTCCGCTCCTTGGCTAATGGCCATTGGGAACCAGATAGCCGTAGCATTTTGTAGAATATTATACGATTGAGCCAATGAGAATACTATGCCCGAGGTAATATTATTGCCTGAAAATAAAACGGATAGTTCAATTAATTGTTATTTTTGCTACAGATAAAAAATATAAAGTAATTCAAACTGCTTTAGTGCTAAATCTGAAATAAATTGTACTGCAATCGCTTCTGTGGTGTAACTAGAAAGGTTTTATAAGGTATTTAGTTTGAACAAATTTTTTATGTGCTGGGATATAGTAGGTACATCCAGTGCCTAAGTTTGACATCGGTGTTGTAACCTACCGCACCTAGGTACCTTAATAATTTATTAATTCCATTTATTAAATATACAGTTCATCAAATTTCTAGAGGCTTTCGACGGCTAGACAGAGAAAGCACTACTGACAGGCATCCCGACGGATTTACGCAATGAAAGTACACTCTGCGCATCAAGTATTTCACTATTTCATTCAGACGTAAATGTCAGATGTAAATTTCGCTAAAACATTTCTTTTATTTTCGTTTGTGTTTTTTGCTCATTACAGTTTAATAGAACCTAAGTATGGAGTTTAATAGCAAATTAAGAGGCCGCGTGATTAACAGTCAATCTCGCGAAAAAATAGCCAATGTTATAGAGTTTATGAGAAGAGAAGGAAACTTTAATTCACCTTCAATACCATTTAAAAATGTAAATGATCGTGTTGCTGCAGCCACAGGAGTATCTAAAAACACTGTCGTCCGCATTTCTGGAGAGAAAAAAAGAATCGATAACCGTGAGATATCGGAATTTTCATCACCAAGAAAAACCATTAAAAAACCAAAAACAGTTAATGATATAGATGAAGCTGCACAAGAATCAAATTTTATTTTTTATTATTAGATAGCTATTTTTGTTTTTGAGTTGTGTTCATTTACAGGCTCAATTTTTTTCCGTTTCTCCTTTTTGATTTTATATGGGGTTTCAAGTTGTTTTTGACTTATTTCGACGTAAATCACAACAACACACTTTTTTAATAAAGCAAACAAGTGTTAAGAGGTATATGTACGTGTAAACTACAATTACAAAAAATTGATATGAAACCCATGAAACCACCAACAAAAATGTTCCGTACTAGAACATGGTGTCATTCGTCGAGATAATTTATCGTTTTGTTTAATAGATCAAGAAATGTAAATATTCCCCTGTTATTTTTTATAAAATTATAAGAGAAGTAAATTTTTTTCTAAATAGTATAGTTTATTATTTTGTAGAAAAACAAAATTTCGAAAATTTTAGTAATGTTTCAGAAACAACCGTTATTAATAATAGGTACCATTTTCCTTAATAAGGTAGAAATAAAATATAAACTATTTCCACGATTTACAAAGGCCTACAAAAAAATTATAGGTATTTTCCGCTATCCTATAAAATTTATATTTTCTGACTCAATTTCAAAAGGTTGAAGGAATTCCAAAACACCTTTTATGGCATAGTAATTATTTTCAATTCTACATACTATCTTTAGCTGCTTTTAAAAACGTTCTAAGAAAGTCCAATCAGACCAATTTAATCCCTAAACTATTCCACACTTTTAAAATTTAATTACCTAAAAATATTAAAAACTATTTAAAATAACTTGTTTAGCAGACTGTACAATAGCTATCTTAGTCACACGTAGCGCGTTCTCTGTCTGGGCGTCGAACACCTCTAGAAATTTGATGAACTGTAATATTGCATTCTTATTAAATTTAAAATCCTTCATTTAATGAAAAATCTCCCAGATAATTAAATCTTATTTACGACACCTAATAAATAATAACTATAACCACGTTCATAAAAGATCCAAATTTCGTGCACGTGGATGAGCTCCTAGAACAAGAAAACACCATAAACCATATTTCTTTTCACGAAGTAATTATCATTAAAACACTTAACTCGCTTATCTTGCTAGTTTCGATGTTAAGACCGATTTCAAGAATATTTTGATACACAAAGCTTTCAAGACAAGTAATAAATAAGCCACTCCTTTCACCCACCGTATTTCTATGAGAACTAAAGACATAGAGACGTCACAAAAGCCATTAAAACTTTATTATTAAAAGCCAGACCCAAATGAGCTCGAGGCACTAATTTTTAATTATTTGATGTGCAAGCATTCATTTATTATTTGTATCCAGTTATATTTCAAGTTCAGTAGTCAGTACCTTTCCTAAAACGCTCTTCCTAAACGACGTCTATCCTACAATACCTCCTATCCCCGAAGGTGTCAACGTCTCGACACCCAACGTCCTGCCTACATCTCAAACGCTGTCACATTCCTCACCATCTAAGTATTTCCTACCGTACACTTAATTCGACGCCCAACGTCCCACGCCTTATTTCCGACGCTTGCCGTCCCTAAATATTTCCTTCATAATATCACGTCCCGCACCACCTAAATAATTCTACCGTATATCTGTCCCAATACAGTACCATATTAAATACCTTCCTTTCCACAACGACGCTAGGCGTCTCGACGCTAGGCGCCTCGACGCTTAACGCTGCGATGTACCTGAATCGAGACCGTCACAACGCTAGATGAAATTAGTACATAATCTGTCTGCATTTTCAATGGCGAGTCAAAAGATTTATGTACCTTTCTTTGAGATACCACCCGGGTTTCGTTTAAGGACAGGTTTGACGTTTTTAAATAAAACAAGGATTTTAAGTTATAATTTTATTTCATAAAACTTCATCTCGAAAAGAAGTTTTGATATGAAATAAAGTAAGGGTTCATAATTTCACTCCCCTATAATGTAACAGGAATATTGAAAAAATACCCGTGGTTAGTCCTTTGCGAGTGTACGAAAATGACAAAATTTCAAGTTTATAGCTTTACTGAAATTTTAGAAAAAAAATAAAAACTCAATTTTAGTCACCACCTTTTAAGGGTAATATTTCGAAAAGGGGTGGGCTGAGGAAATTTTGTTATAGGAAAGACCCATCTTAATTTCATACGAGCAATCACCTCCTGAATTTTGTCGCATGAATTTAGAAACACCCTGTACCTTTATTTATTTTAATTTTTTACATCTATCACTGGTATTTTTTGATAAATTACGATTTTTTTTATTCAACTAATTAAGGTAATAGCACCAAAAGACGACACTCATGATTGCCACACCAATAGATGACACCCTATCAAAAACCTCAAATATTTAAAGTACAAACTCTTTCTCACTGTTCCGCAATATCTGGCAACATTGTTTGCCCTTTATTTGACCTGAAGCACATGTTTTGTTAGCATAGCATTAATGGTATATCTTGTTAATTGTGTTTTTAGGGCTGAATCTAATTAAATCAAATGCATGTGTTTGTTAGCGTCAGTGTCAGCTACTGGAGTAAGTAAAAGTCTTCACACCAATAGCTGACACAGAGTGTCATCCATTAGATTTGGTCATTTTACAAGTTGGTTATTATTAGTGAACACTATTTTTTAAAATATTCTTATTTATATTGAGTTTATTATAAAAAAATGTAGGAAACCAATAGATGACATGGGTGTCATCTATTGGCTTTTGAAGGTGTCAGGCATTGGTTCCCAGTTTGCAGTGATAAATTATTAAACATGGGAAAAATTTGAGTATATACAAAACTCACCGATTTTTACAAAAATTTGAGAAAATGTTGTATAGACTGTTTATAATTCGGTACCATACTTTTTTTTTAGCGGAACTACTATTGCACCTTATTTTTTTCGTTTTTTATTTTGAATTTTTACACCATTTTTTTGAGTGAAAAGTCATAAACCACTAATAATCCGATGACACGATGACAGAATTCTATTGTTTATAATCGATATATTCTATAAATCGATATTTTTGTTTTGATGTATCTACTGTAAAATTATTAAAAAAATACAGAAATAATCATTAAAAAGCCATTTTAACTGTAAATTAAAATCAGCTGATGAACTAACGCAGTTAATATTATGTTTTAATTTGTTAATTTGTATTATGACATACTTTAGATTTTCTGAATGAAAATCGATTTTTTCTTTAAATTACAGTGTTGCCGGTTTTTATTCAGAGTTGACCCGAGTAAAACAAAAAATACCTAATAATTACTTTGACATTTAAATTTTGTGCTCTTTTTAAAAAAGTCAAAATTATATCTTTAAAAATGTTAAATTTGGTAAAATTATTTAAAATTTGTGAAAATAAAGTAGCAATGATAGAATTTTTACAAAAGTGGAAGTTAATACCAAAAGAAGGCACTTTTTTGTGTCCACGATGCAAACAGCCGTTAAAACTTTCTGTAGATGCAAGATCGTAAGTTGTATTTTTTGTTGTAACATTTTTTATAATATGTTTGTGTATAAGATTTTGATAAACTGACTTAGTAATTTACCGATTATTTAAACTGTAACAGTATCGGTTGTTACTATTTTATTTTCAATTTAAAATATATTTATTTTATTTTAGGGCTGATCATTATTATTGGCGATGCCAAAATAGTGTTCGAATTAACAAAAAAAAACGGCGGCCATGTGGATACAGAAGCAGTTTGAGGAAGGGTAGTTTTTTTTGGAAATCAAAATTACCAATTTTTAAAATTTTGGGATTTGTAAATTTGTGGGTTCATAATGTTACATTAGAAGCAATTTGCATTCAACTAGATATAAATAGAAGAACGGCAGTAGACTGGGCGAGCTTTTGTAGAGAAGTGGTACTAAATGGTTTGTTGGGAAATGAGGAGAAACTTGGCGGGCCTAATACAATAGTAGAAATTGACGAGAGCAAATTTGGGAAACGAAAGTATAATAAAGGGCACCATGTGGAAGGACAATGGGTCTTTGGAGGTTACGAAAGGGGAACAGGAAGAATATTTATGGTGGCTGTTGAAAGTCGTGATAGTGATACCCTTCTTCCTATTATTGAAAAATATATCGAGAAGGGTACTACTATCATATCAGACTGTTGGAAGTCTTATAACTGCCTCACCGATCGTGGTTATAACCATTTGACCGTTAACCATTCCGTCACCTTCAAAGATCCAGAGTCGGGGGCACATACGAATAGTATCGAGTCATCTTGGAGACACGCTAAAGCTATAA